CTTTTTTCCAATATCTGCTCCCACTTGCTGCAGTTTTGGGGGCATGATCATCATCCCCTCAGATCACACTGCTGTCCAACTGTAGAGAAAGAGAGGTTATAAGCGCCCTGTCTCCTTCATTTTCTCTCTGGGGTCCTGGAGGAGTTCAGCTTCTTTACCCATGTACCCGCTTCCCTTCTCTCAGCTCCCCCACAGACTCTGTTAGTAATAGAAAAATAAGCTGAGTGTGGTGGTGCATGCCTGTAATCTAGCCACTCAGTAGCTGAGGCAGAAAGGTTGCAAATTTTTGAGCCCAGCCTGGGCAATTTAGCAACCCTCTATCCCAGTATAAAAAATTAGAAGGGCTGAGGATAAAGCTTAGTGGTAGAGTGCTTGCCAGCATGGACCAGCCTCTGGATTCCATTCCTGGTATTTGGCAGGGGGAGGGGGAAAAAGAAAAGAAAAACTAAATCCTCAGTACACCTGTCTTTGAGATTATTCTGAACACTCGCAGATAGGCTCCTCCCGGGATAGGGAGTTTGGAGCTGGCTGCATGTCTCCTTTCTTCTTTGCCTTGACAGAGATGGTTGAAGAGACTCTTAGGTGTGGCTCCAGGACCAGCCCAGCTTCCCAGGCCTGGGGATTGCGGTCAGCTCCCTCTAGGAGCATACGGTATATATTCTCAGCCCAAAAGTTAGGCTTAGGTCGGTTCAAGTAAAAGACCTCCAGCCCCATTCTTGACAGACATGACTGCTATTGGAACTCCGTGATAGTGACATCATCTCTTGTGTTCTTTAGCTGGCTTCCTCCAGCCCAGCCTGAGGTTACTGCGTGTCTCCCGAGAACAAGGCCCCAGTTCCCTGCACCTCTGCCTGCTCGCTAGCCAAAGCACTAGCTTAGAGATGACTTTGGAAAAAAAAAAAAGCTGATTTATAATAATAATGAGTGGTTATGGAGTACTTACTGTATACTAGGTATTCTGCTAGCAGGATCTTAACATCTTGTTTATTTCTCCCCACAATCAAATAAGATAGGAAACTCATTATCCTCATTTAGCAGCTGTGGACATGAGGCAGGAAGAAGCTGAGGAACTTGCCTGGGTTTCCTTAGAATCCTAATTGTGATTGTCCCCAGCTACCCCTGCCATCCAAGCTGGGAAATGAGGACTCAGTGAAGCAGTGATGAGTGCCCTTTGAAAAAACCTGAGGGAGGGGCTGGTGAGATGGCTCAGTGGTCTAAAGCACCTACTTAGAACAAGCTGAGTTAAGCAAAACACAGGGACCACGGTTTGATCCCCAGCACCACATGCCAGCCAGCCCCTGCCCCCTGGTGGGCTGAGCTGGCCACACACACACACACACACACACACACACACACACACACACAAATAAAAAAAAAAAAGTAGTTTAAAAAAATAAATAAATAAATAAAAAACCTGAGGGAAGCCCCTTACTGTTCCAGAAGATATTCTGTGAATGGCATCAGTTAGAAATTTGCCACCAGATGTGGTAGTGCACACCTGTAATTCCAGCACTCCGGAGGATGAGGCAGGAGGGCCACTGTAAGTTCAAGGCCAGCCTGAGCTACAAAGTGAGATCAAGGCCAGCCTGAAGTGCACAGTGAAACCCTGTCTTAAAAAGAGAAGTTGCTGATTCCTTTAAGATTCCTCTTGCGGCTCCCCTCTTATTTTCTCTCAAGAAGTCTTGACTTCAGAGAAACTGCTTCAGGGACTATATGACAGGGGAACAGAAGGAAGAGGAGATCATGGTCACAATCTCCATCTCCACTGCCTCGGGGAGGAAAGAGAGGAAGCAGGGGAGTGGTGCAGGGAGCTGCCTCCTGGGGACTGCCCAGCCTTAGACAGCAGCATCTCCAGCCAGGGGCTGGAAGGTTCTCAGCAGAGGCAGCAGGCAGCAGTCTGGCAGGGAGACCAGGGCTCCTGTGCCACCAACATGACTGCTGACAGCCAGGGTCACCTTGGGTGGGCAACTCAACGATAATGGTCCTTCCTGTGGCCACCTGTTATGATGGCTAAATGAGGCAGCATCCGCATCATGCTTGGCAAGAGCAGACACCACACCCCCAGAAGCAAGCTCCCCTTCGCTAGTTGTCTGATTCAGTGGGGAAGGACTAGGGCTGAAAACCAAGATCAGTTAAAGGGACAATGGTCTATATGCTTTCCCTACCCATGAGCCAAACCCAAGGACGCATCTGGATCCGAGTGTGGTTGTGAGGGTCTTACTCTTCTGTTATGCATCACAGTCACGTACCTGCCACTGCCCTGTCCCTGTGTACCTCTCTGTTTTGGCCATTGGTGCCCAACGCACCAAAATGAAAGAAGACTTTGTTTTTTCATGGCTGAAGAAACAGAGGGGAAAACCCAGACCCACAGGAGCTGTTCCTTGACAGAGTCAGCTGGGGACTCCGCAGCAGCTACTTGGGGGCTCCAGTCCTTGTTTTGTTGCCCTTGTCCACATGGACATGGACTCAAGCCATAGTTGTGATGGCAAAGTAGACTCAGAGAGAAGCTGAGGCACTGACCCTGGCAGTGGGCTGCTTGGCCATCAGCTTTTCCTTCCTGTCTGTTCCCCACCTACCCTCTGTGGCTGCCTGTCCCCCCCCATACCAACTCGGCATCTCAAGACCACTGCTGTTTCTGGTCACAGCGGTGGACGGGCTGTAGTTTGCCCCAGTGCTCCTAATTGCCCAATTTCAGAAACACATCAGCTCTGATGGAGGAACTCTGCCAAAGCTTTATTGGGATGTGGTAATATGGAGCACTCGTGTGCAGCTGACTCAAGTCTAGGCCCTGATCCCAGGGAGCGAGACACACTCGATGTGGGCCCAGGCCTGGGGAAGGGGTGCAGCTGTTGGGACAAGGCTGGAAGAACCAGGCTCCCGGGCTCTGACGCACAACTTCTCGGAAGTCCTGTTCCCTGCCAAGCGCACCTTAAATGTCCCCGGGGAGTGATGGCTGCGTATGTCTGTGTGTAAAGTGGCAGCAGTGGCAGTCCTGGAGCCCACTTCTCCCTGACACGTCCAGCCACTTCTAATAGGTGTGAACATAATGGATTCATTTATTCCTTTTGAAGACAGGCCCACCACTGCATGCCCACTGGGCTGGCTGCCGCAGCAGGTTACAAAGCACCAGGGCCGTCTTTCGGGTACTTGGCCATCCCCCCCACGGAGAAGTAAAATGTCAGTGGAGCAAATTACTGACCAAATACTCCGGAATCTATAAATATTAAATTTCCCTGGCTTTCATATAAAATTCAAGCTCTGTTCTGGCCTGGGAGGGGAGGTGTCTGGATAGCATGAGGGAGGGGGGACAAATGCCAAAGGAGAGACAAATGTCCCCAGAGGATAAGGGGGAGGCTGACTCTCCGGTTGGTGGGGGGCAGTCCTGGCCAGAGGAGAAGCAGCAGGGAATGGGCTGTGAAGAGAAAACAAGCGTGGACAGACAGGACTGTCATCCAGGAGGAACCTTTCTCAATGTTTGCTGGAGGTGTCCTGGTTGATGGGGTGTGTGTGTGTGTGTGTGTGTGTGTGTGTGTGTGTGTGTTTTGCAGGCAGGCTCTATGATGCATTTCTTACTCCAGCCCAGGATCCCTGGCACCATTCCCTCTGGTGACTGCCCAGCATGTACTAGCACCAGGCAGGGCTGAGCCGGGGGTAGGGCACAGAAAAAGGCTCTGCTGACTCACAGGTAGCCAGCTGTCCCCTTCCCTCTCTTCTGCTGCCACAGCCTGGGCCCCAGGCCCCTGCTCACTAGGCCTCCAGACTGTGTGAAGACTGTCCTCCCATTGGTTGCTTGTCTTGTTGTTGTTGTGTGTATTCTTATGCCACTTCAGTCAGTTCTAGACTCCCTCTAGGTGGGAGGTCTCCTGCGACTTTAGCAAGGCACCAGCAACTACCTTTGCCAGTATGCCAAGACCTTGTACTGTCTTCCTTCTCCTCCTTCTCCTTCTCCTCCTTCTCCTTCTCACCATGCTAGGGATCACAGTGAGGACCTTTTGTATATTAGGAAGGTGCCTACCATTGGACACACCCCTGAGCTATATGCTCAATTCTCAGGGTTTTTTTCAATCCTAGGGATGGAACCCCCAGAGCCTTCCAGGCCTTCACACTGAGGAACATCCCCAGTCCTTTTAAAATTTATTGTGGGGGGCCAGGGAGATAGCTCAGTGGAATAAATGCTTGCCTGGCAAGCGCAAAGTCCTGCGTTTGATCTCTTTTTATACCACCAAATAAATAAATGAAATTATTTTGGGACGAGGTCTTCCTAAGTTGCTAAATTGCTGAAGATAGGCTATCTCAATTATTATTCTTTAGTTGCTGGGACAAATACCCGACACTCAAAATGAAGGAAGGAAAGATTTATTTAGCTCACAGTTACTGGACATCTCAGTCCATACTCAGCTGGCTCCAAGGCAGGGTGGCACATGGCAGAGAACAGAGAGCAAAGGGAGTGGCAGCAGCTCAGGCAGCTAGCCGGCCTCTCATCCCTCCTTACATTGCAATTCAGATTACCTACCCCAGGGCAGATGCAGCATCCACACACACAATAATCAATCACAAACTCCAGAAGCCACCCCATGACTGCAGGAGGCTTTAGGGGGACAACTAGACAGCAGGCTCAAAACTTGTAATCCTCCTGTGTCAGCCTCCTGAGGGTTGGGACTATGGGCATGGACCACTGCCCCAAGATGTGTGCCCTTCTTTTTTAAAAGAGCATTAATCATTGCTCTTAAAGAGTGGAAAAGGGTAAGAACTGCAGCACCTTTACCCTGTTGACACTGAGGACACTGAGGCCCCCGAGGTCCTGGCAGAGCAACTGCCCAGGGCTTCTAGAGAGGTTCCGCGCGGATCTGAGGAAGTACTGTAGCCTCTGAGTGGCCAAGCCTGGATGCAGCCCAAGCCTCTAGGGCTCCAGGCTGGGATTCCTAATTGCGAGCGTGCCTCGTGTCCCCCATCTGGCTACCTCTCTCAGCTGGTGGCCGAGTGAGCACTCTCTCTTGCAGGCATCCCCACGCTCATCGTGCTGGACCCGCAGGGGGAGGTGATCACGCGGCAGGGACGGGTGGAGGTGCTCAACGACGAGGACTGCAGAGAGTTCCCGTGGCACCCCAAGCCTGTGCTGGAGCTCTCTGACTCCAACGCCGTGCAGCTCAACGAGGGGCCCTGCCTCGTGCTTTTTGTAGGTATGGAGCTCAGTGGCATGGAGCCTGGGGGGGGACGGGCCATGGTGGACCTCCACCTGGGACCCCACTGGAATGCTGCCTGTCCTGGCAACCTCTTCCTGCCCCTAACAGGGCTGAGCTTGAGCCTTTGTCTCTGTGCTGCAGCCTTGCTTTTGACCCCAGTGATGTATTCGTGGCTCTGCCCCTGGGGGAGGTGGTCTGGGAGCTGTTGCTGCTGAGCCTCCCACAGCGGGGCTGTGTGAAGACACCCACATTACCATCCCAGGGCCCAGTGAGATGAGCCATATTGCTTTTGTAAACTGAGCAACACATCGTTCTAGCTAAGAACTATGCTGCCCCCAGCCTTGGGATTTGTGCTTTCTTGCAGCCAGATTGGTGTACTAGACCCTGGCTAAGATGGGCCATGCCTCCTAGTTGTTCCTGACTGCCAGCGGGGCAGAATAGGTGTGGCCTACAGGAGGCCCTCACCCGCCCCCCCCCATGAACAGAGCCATTGTTGGAAAGAGCAGGGCTGCACACGCAGCAGCTGCGCAGAGCAGGGCCCCCTCGGGCTATGGCTCACCCCAGGCTGCTTCTGAGCTGTCTGTGCTCAGGCTGTTCCAGGCCTCAACAGCTGGCCCAGGAGCTAGAGAGACATGGTTCTTCCGTCCTTACTGACCCCTGGCATGGCTGTTCTCATCTAGGGCAGAAGGACAGGAGAACATCCATATTACAATCCCTGGGGCCCAGTGAGATGAGCCAGACTGCTTTTCTAAACTGAGGATCACATAGTTCTAGCCAAGAACTACATTGCTTGCCTGCAGCTGAATTGCTGTACTAGACAGCAGCTGAGAGGGGCCATACCTGCTTTGCTGAGCGACTGGGGAGCAGCATCCTCCTCCAGTTTCTAAGGTCTGGTTTGGGGAACACCGAGAAGGGAGCTGATAAGCAGACACAAGGGAATTCTTAAGCAACTGGACTTGTAGGCTGGGCCTGGGCTTGGGAAGGAAGGCGCTTTGGAGAGAGGCAGCCTTGGGGAATCTATGCTGGAACTTCTCTGCCATCCTAGGGTTAGTTAGGAAACAATTCTGAACCCAGGGACTATTAGGTACCACATGGCCATCAGCAGAAATGTGGCAACAAGGTCCCAGAGAAGCAAAGCAAGTTGGATAATGTCACACACAGAGTAGGTGGGGATTCAGAGTGTGTCTTGCCATCTCTGTGTGCTGTGGGCCTCTTGAATAGCAGTGCTGTTGGGCGAAACCCTGGGTAGGCGCCTGCTGCGCCCTCCCCTGCTTTTGACACGCTCACCCACTCTCCATCAGTACTTCCACCACTTTCACTACAAGGCCAGAAGTCCCAGGTCATGGCTTTGCATTCTGTGATGAAGAAAAACACCAAGAGGGACCTCAGGTCCTTGCTTAGGGGGCAGCTCAGCTTGTAGGGTGGGTCTGTGGGGCACTCAGTGACAAAGTGTCTGCCCTGAGCATTGGTACTAGTCCCTGTGGCAAGTTGTCCCTGGTGAGTGAGTACAAGAAAATACTGTATAAATGTTCTCTGTTACTGCTACACACGTATGTACACAGGTGTGTAGACAGCTTGGGTGCACGCGGGAAGTCAGACCTGTGTCTAAGACAAAGTTCTTTTCCACTCGGGCTGCTCACAAGGGCCTTTCAGTAGCTGAAGCCCAGCACCCAGGCCTACATAGTGGGCACCACCATTTAACAAGCCACAGTTTTCTGTCTTTTTCTCTGTTCCTCCATCACAGATTCTGAGGATGATGGAGAGTCAGAGGCAGCCAAACAGCTGATTCAGCCAATAGCTGAGAAAATCATTGCCAAGTACAAAGCCAAAGAGGAGGAGGCACCGCTTCTGTTCTTTGTGGCTGGGGAGGTGAGTGTGTGTAGGGGGTAGGGGAAGGGGATGGGTCTGGCCCCGGCAAGGCTGGCTCAGCAGGGGACTTCTAGGACATGAGTGACACTGGCCTTGAGGGGGCCTGAAGGGACCTCTGCGTCTGTGTTGACTCTGCTATAGACAAATGTGGAAGCAAAAGTGTGTTGTTTGCCAAGGAAGACCATTTGCTACCCCTGCTGTTTCATGTTTCCTTCCTGCCTACCAGCAGCCTCAGAACAGTAAGAAGCCCTCCCAGGGCTGCTACTCACCCAGGCTGTTGGGGAATCCCTGCCACACACGTCTGCCATCCACTGTCACTCTGGTGCTAGGTCAGAACAGGCCCTGGGTGCTCTACGCAGGGTCCACTTGTTAGGTCTTCCACACCAGCCCGAAGAACCCAGCCTTCCTTAGCCCACGGCAGGGATCCATTGACCACAGCTGGGCTCCGCAGTCACCCAGCCAGCCCAGAGAGAGCAGTGAAGTTGGAAACTGTTGTTGTTCCCAACCCCCACCATCAGAGGCCTGGCCCTGAAAGGTCTCTGTTGGGCTAGACAAGACAAAGGACTATTCCAGGCACAAGAAAGCAGGCCCCGGAATGGTCCCCTGTGCACAGGTGCCAGCATGCCTTGAAGAATGGGAACCTGCATCTCGCAGACAGTGGTGTTCTGCAAGATGGCCACCCAGCTCAGGCGTGCCCCTCGCTTCCAGGAAGAACCCTCTGCGCATGCTCACTGCCTCCTACCCAACCCCAGCGCCCCCTGAAGCAGGCGTTCCCCAGTACTCAGTGAGGCCATCCAGTCCTGCATGCAACCCCTCTGCACCTCCAGTTGGTCGGAGGTTATTTCACACTGCGTTTGGATCCCAGGAGAGTAGTGAAGAAGACGGGCTGGCCAGACACCCTGAGCCACCCATTCATCACTCCTCAATAGCTGCCTCTGGCTGCCCTCCCAGGGGCCCCTCAAAAGCAGCTCAAGCAGCCTTACTCAGCCCTGGTGTGGAGGGAAACAAAGAGGGTTCACAAGCCCTGCCTCAGGGCTCACCAGCCGCTTGCACAAAGTGCAGTGAGCTGCTCTGCATGTATTAAACTCTAACCCCTGGAGAATGGCTGCGAAGAAAAGATGGGTGCAGAGCAGAATGGGCTGAGGGCTGTGGGGCGGGGATGTAGAAATGAGGCTGAAAAGGAGCATTTGCAGGTTTTCAGGATCCCAGGCAGCCAGCCAAGTGCTTCACCTGCCGTCTCTCCTTTGTGTCTCATCTCTCTGGCTGGGAACCTAGCCACTGTTCCACCTCACAGAGGAGGGAATAAGGCTCGACTGGTCGAGGGACCTGTGTACTCCCTCCAGGATGGCTCTGGGTGCTGGTACCAGCTCACTCTTTGCCTCAACCCTCGGGAGGGAGCTCTAGTTAAATCCACTGGGCAGGGACTGGGACCTCGGCTTGGAGTGGTGTCTTGTCCAGGTCACACAGGAATGGGCAGAGAGGGCATTGAAGTTGAGAACACAGTGACCCCCAAGACAGTGCTCTTGGTCCATGGGCTCTAATACATGGACTCACTCATGCCTAGAAGGAGCGGGGAGGGTGGGGACAGGAGGAAGGCTGCCTGGATGCAGAAGGCTGAGCAGAAGTGGCTGTGTTGTCCACTTCTAGTCCCCACCTGCTCCAGTCTTGCTGTGCATTTCCTCGGGGCCTCTGGCATCAGTGGCTTCCTTGGTCCCATTCTCTGTCCTCAAGCTCAGAAGCAAAGCAGTGAGAAAGGGGGCAGGGAAGGGGGACAAAGAGCTGAAGCCTCAGGCACTGACTGAACCCAGGTCTCTGGCCTAGGGCCAAGGGGACCCCTTTTTTCTATCTTGCCCCTATCCCCTGTGGCAAGCAAGACTCACCCCTTCAGGAGCCCTAGGGGACATTATAATTCATCTCCCTGTGATTTGTGCAACAGGAGGTGGGGAGGGAGGCAGTGGAGCCCTGGGCTTGCTCTGGGCTCCTGGTGGGAATGAGATGCGCAGTTTTGTGCAGGTGCCGCCCTCTGTGTATCGTGAACAGTTTTTGGTAAGAGCTTTTGTTGAAGCCCTGAACTGGGTGAAGATTGCCAGAGATGTTGAATCATTCAGCATCGCTGGGAGGAAAGACTATCACTAACAGTCTTCCTAAAGATTTGCTTTTTGAGAAAGTCATGGTTTAGGGTTCGCTTTTGTTTCTCTGTCTCAGAAATCAGTGAGCTGTAAACACGTCTCCTCCTCACCTCCATTTAAGGCCAGGAACAATGTAAGCCCCCCCCCCTTTTCTTGACAGGATAACTCAGGTACTTCATTAAGTTTATTATTTATTTATTTTGTGGCATCCGGGATTGAATCCAGGGCTTTTGCACTGAGCTACATCCCCAGCCCTTTTGCTTTTTATTTTGTTTTTTTTTTT